CCCCTCTCGTTACTCAAGGTCTATATCCGCCACTGGTAACGATAGAAAATTTAAGCAACAGAGAACTTGGTAGTGAACTACTATAGAGGAGTTATTGCAGAAATATTTTGGCTTTTGTTTACACCATCGAAACTTGTATCAAGTTAGGGCTAGATAAAAGTGATAAAAACAAGAAGAAAGAGTTTACCTATAATACATTGATACAAATTTGTGCCTTTCTAAGGGAACCTCAAATTAGCATCAATATCATCAGTGATGAAATAATAGTATGCAGATGTTCAAATGTTCTTAATCGTGATACCAATCTCTACTTTTTGTTAGCTTACAAGGTTTTTGTATAATTTTTTTTTTCAAAAGGGATTCGATCACTTGGCACCTGTTCGTACTTTAAACTCATCGTTCAATTAACAATTATTCCACGAGTGCGCGTTGGATATGAGATGATAGATAGCCAACGAGGCGCGTAGCGCCGAGTTGGCTATAATCATCTCAAATCCAACAAGCGCGAGTGGAATAATTGTTTTATGAAAAAAGTTAAATTAAAGTATTAAATCTTATTATATTTTTAGCACCCTTTTAATCTTAAGCTGACACGTACGCTTACCATATTTGTAGATTATGGTCTATTGGCTGATATACCATGATGGCTAAGCCAATAATAAGTCGTGAATTGCATTATCCAATGACCTAGTTTTTAATAATTGTCAATATTTGCACCTCAGTTGCAATGATTACTCCCGCTCCCTGTCCAAAGTCAATTAGTAAATTTAAAGGCTTATCAATATAAAGAGCGAAAGTACATATTCTTCAGTTCACTTAGCTTTTTAGCGGATGGTTTTTCTGATTGGTCTGTTAACACTTTTAGTGTACGCACACTGCTGGTCAAGCAAGCTTATTTAGATAGCGTTTATTTCTAACCGAAGTAAAATGTAGTTTGAACTAAACTGAATTAAAGGTTGTCTGAGTTTGCACTTTGAGTCATTAAAATGCTCAGAGTCCCTATATAAACATGTTGCAAGCCATCTATAGTGACCTTCTAGCTCATTTGTATACGTTCTCTCTCTTGTGGTGTGCTATAGCAGAGCTCTGAGTGAACCGTTATTAAAACGGAACTCAAAATACCACCATTCAAATTGCAAAATAAAGTTAAAGTATAATATCAGGCCCGATCCTTTTTCAAATGAAGAATACATAGAGAACAATCTGGGAAAGTCAACTGCCGATTAAATTCTATTGCATATAAAATCTAGATGATTTCCTCCTGGTTAGCTCAATGGTAGAGCGCCGGACTGTTATGCGGGAGGTCGAGGGCTCTAGCCCCTGCCGGACCAACACTCAGGGTCTTAGAATAACTGAGGAGAATGTGCTACCTCTCTATAATATCAAGAAATGGATAGATACTCTAGTCTCCTCGGATAAGGACGAAAAAACCGTAGGTCCCGTCTCCTGCAGGGTTAGGGGTAGGGGCGTTAATTTCCCACGCTCGAGATCACTGTGTGGTGGATGTCCTCCCCTGGGATGGGATGGGTGGGTTAACTGGGCCCGCGGTAATTGGCGCAAGCTGTTGCGGGGTCACTACCTGGGTTGGTACTTGGTGAGATCCTTCATACATGCATCAGAACATATGGGAATACATGGTCATTTGCATTCATTAACATACATTAAGGATTACACGAGGTACTTACACCTACTTGTCGGCGAAGCTAATAAATTAAATTACAAATTACAAATAGATTTCTTTTTTATAGTTTATTATGGATGTGGTTAATTGAAATGACACCTAATTTCTTGCAAGAATATTGTTTTAACACACCGTGATTTTTTGGTCGATCGAAAGGAGGACGCTTGGTGACTAATCACTGATACAGCTTGGAAAGTGTCTTGAAATGTGTCTCTCTCACTTGTTTCTCGCAAGGAAATTGATCGTAGAGATAGCTTTGAGCCAAAAATATTACACAATCTTACCGCACCTAAAACACAAGAGTATATTATTTCCGAGAATTCTGGGAAAGATCCCGTTACCGAGAGAAGCTAAAGCGTGATCGAAAAGTATATTCTTGCTGCCTATAAACAAATTAATTTAAAAAAGTCCTCTCGGTCCAATCTACTTCCCACGATTAATCCACGTGTTCAGCCAAGGTGGCCTGAGCACGAATATACACTTCCGCGTCAGACCATACTTTCGTTTAGGTAGCCATGGCTGCTCAGTGTCGAAGTTTCTTCGATGATGTCAAAAAAGAATTAGAATGTTGTGTATGCCAAGAACAGTTTGATGCAGTCAACGAGCCGAAAATACTCAAATGTCTCCACACCTTCTGTAAATCTTGTCTACAACGTTGGTTACGACAACAAGGTGGAAGCCGTTTAAGTTGTCCGACATGTCGACAGATCACCGAATGTCCAAACAACAACATCAACAGCCTTCCATCCAATCTATTTTACAAGCAGATGGTGGGAATTGTCGAGGCCTATCGCGGAAAGGGGCGAGAAGACTCACCGCATTGCGGAAACTGCGAACAACGAAGGTCGCTGAAGTTTTATTGCTCGGATTGCAATTGCTTCCTTTGTGAAGAATGCTCCATGGCTCATAAAAAACTAAAGGTGCTTAATGGCCATCACGTCAAAGAAATTGGAAATTTTGTGTCTAGTGACGCACAAGATTACGCTCGGAAACTCAACGTTTGTAAAGAACACAAAGATCAAGTTAGATTTTACTGCGAACAATGTGTAACATGCATTTGTCGTGACTGCGCCATATTGGAACACCGAGATCACAACTTTGTGTCCATTGACAAAGGATTGGAAAGGAAGAAATCAGAGATCGAGACCAAAATGGAAAACGTTTTGGCAAATGGTTCTAGACTACGAGACGAAAAAGAATTCCTAGAAGCACAAAGGATCAGAATGAACAAAAGCATCGAAAAGGCGAAAGAAGAAGTGCATCGAATCGCCGAACGCAACATGGCGTTAATTCGACAACACGAATCAAGCGTGACGGAACAACTCATCAGGCAGAAAGATGTTTTCGAAACTGAATTTTCAAACACTGTATTCCGAATGGACGAGAAACTAGCAGAAATAGAGAGCGGCTTGGAATTTTGCAACGACATACTTCAACGAAATAATCTGCCGGAGATTTTAAACGTGGAAGAAATACTTGAGCAACGATTTCAGGAACTTTCGAAGCCTTCTGATGCAAATGTGAAACCAAATTGCTACGAAGTCAAGTATGTTCCGAATCAATTGTTCTGCTTGGAAGAATCAACAGGCAAACTGTTGACAAGCAAAACTGTACCTTCGTCATCAGAGGTAGAGGGTACGGGACTCACCGAGGGAACTCAAGGCGAAGATTGTGTTTTTACAATCATCACAAAAGACTCGCATGGTAATAAAACTTACAGTGAAATAGATAAAGTCATTGTTGACATTAAATCAGTGCAGACTGGAGCAGCCCTACAGGCTAAAATAACAGACTCAAACAATGGCTGCTACACAGTATCATACAATCCTCAAACCGCTGGAGATTTCAACGTGACTGTACATGTTGCAGATGAACCTATCAAAGGAAGTCCATTCCAGTTGAAAGTGAAAGAAAAAATACGTAAATCGGAAGGTATTCTCTTATTCAGTCATTGTTCATCTATTAATTGATTTGTTGAATATAAATGATTAATACATTGATTATTTGATTCATTGACAGATTCATTGGTTGAACGATGACCTTATCTCCCCCTTTCATTATTTCTCAGTTTACTTCTTGATATTTATTTTAATCCATTATCCAAGTTAAGTCAGAATGATGATAATTCGCACACATATTTGCGTAAATTTGCAACTGCTGCTAGATATTACCCAAACTTCATGAGTTCTGATTCCTGAAGTAATAACAAATATTTTATGATAGCATAACTGGCTCTAAGCCACAAGTTTCTCAGATCTGCCTTTTACAAATTTCAGATTACCAGCCATTTGGCCTAGTTGAGGAGGGAAAAGCCTGTCATGTCTGCTTTTATAATGCAGTCCCAGTTTTCCAGTTACAGTGTGGACATTACATGTGTTGCAAGGGATGTAAAGAGAAGCTACTCTTTGAATGTGACATCTTCTGCTACATTTGCAGACAGAAAGTTCTATTCCTTGGAAATCAACCGACTGGACATATGACTTGTAGGAAAGACTCAGGACCCTCTCTCCCGGGGTACGAAACCTTTGAAACTATAGTACTTGGTTTTAACTTCGACAGAGGAATTCAAGGTTCGTAGTATGGTTTGCGCCACCACCCGTAAATTAACTTTCTAGTTTTGAAAGACAGGATTCGACTTCTGTAGGACACGATTTGGCAAACCGCCGGTTAACTCAAGGCGATTTTTTAGAACTATTCCTCCAAATTTAAGGATAATGGATCTGTATCATGAATCGTTAAGGCAATTTAAATTTTACAACAGATGAGGCAGATTCATCTCATTCTCAGATTATTGAGAACATTTTGATTACCTAGTTGTTTCGTGATATATTCATTTATTTATTCATATATCTATTTATCTATTCATTTATTTCTTATGTATCCTTTGGCTAAGAAAAAAGAGTGGAATTTTTAGCAGCATTAAATTTCTATTGCAGGTGAAGAGCACCCAAATTCTGGGGTTCCTTATTTGGGTTTATTCTGCTCAGCCTATCTACCTGGAAACAAAGAGGGGCAAAAACTGTGTCAACTGCTGAAGAAAGCGTTTGATGCACGCTTGTTATTTACCATCGGAACAGACAACACCATCGTCTTTAACGACATTGAACTGAAAACAAGTCGAAGTGGTGGCCCAGCAAAGTAAGTCTAAGATGCTTTTGTTTGTTTCTTTATTCAACAAAATTTGTAAAACTGGTTGTTTTCCTCTTCGATTGTTTGTTTGTTTTGATTTTTTTCCATTACTTTTTTCCCGTGTCGATTGAATACGCCATCTTCTGGAATGACACTATTTAGCACTAATGCTTACTCTTTTGATAAAGAGCATTAATCTGCAAATCAAACTGCAAAATATACGCAGGAAGTCTATGAGTTAGACGAAAATCATCTTACTTTACTGGCAATTTGAGAAAAACTGGGGTATTAATTTAAGAGAAACGCGAGGAAATTAACGGGCGAATTAACAACTATTAATTTTGTATTTGTAGGACAGTTAATCAAGAAGTTTAAGTTTTTTTTTTTTTTTTTTTTTTTCATTTGCTTAGGTGCGGTTATCCCGACGCAGGTTATCTTGATCGACTGAAGAACCAGCTGGCATTAAAGGGTGTAAAATAGTGCAAGCCATTGAACCAAACAGACCACTTCACGAAAAACCTCATGAGATCGGAGAGGCTAATTTGAATTGAAAGGAGAATGGTTCAATGGGAGAATTTCAAATTAAACAGATTGCCACTCGCGGACTTTGAATACGATCAAGGTTTAGTAATTCAGACGCGTCGACTGTAACGTGTTTCTTTTTAATGATCTCATAAAATCAAATGACTCTTGCGATATCTCTCATTCTATAAGCTAAATAGCGGTTCTAAAATAATTCAACGAAAATTTGGCATTTTACTGGAGCAAGTATGACTTGTTACACAGATAAATAGAAACAGCTGCACTTTTGAAACACTAAAATGTGCCTAAATATCTCAAGTATGCAAAAACTACGACTAGAGAACATGATCTTTTTATTAAGATAACAAATCATGCATAGTCAAACCGAGATTCAAAAATTGAAGCTTAAATAATATTTTAACGTTAATTTGACATAAATCGGCCTTGCATGCGATGTAATGCACTCTTTGCACTCATCATAAATTTCAATCTAGCTATGATCAGAGTGACTCGTAACAGTTAACCGTACTGATACTTTGATGACGTTCTGCAACCCACGTCAGGATTTTATTTCTATGTATCATCCACATGATGTGTCTTATGGGCGGATCCAGGAATTTTTGATTGGGAGGGTCCAAACTTTGGTTCAGAAAGGACTGTTGGACTCTTTTGAGGCAGATTACTACTCTCCCACATCCCCCACACCCCCTTCCCCGAGTCGCGGTTGCAAGTTATAATTCCTTGGCCGCTTACCGTTTACTTGGATTCATTAAAAAAATCAGCCCGTTAAAAAATGATATATGATCCCGTCGATGTAAGAATTTCAGTCTCAAAGTTGTAAGCGTCAGGTCTGATAGGGGGAGTCCGGACCCCCTGGACCCTCCCCCTGGATCCGCCACTGTGGACAATATAGAAAATTTATGCAGACAGATTGCCAGTGCTAATTCTCTTATTCTTACTTACTTTTTCGATGTATAATCTAATGTATAGCTATTCCAAGTGGAGCGCTGAAGTCGATCCCCTCTGTTTGATATCAGTGAATGCTCAAAGCTCTTTTTACAACTTGTTCTTAATTGTGTGATATGAAAATAGCATTTTTACAACGTTTTACGGATTACCTCATTGTCATGTTTTAAAGCTTAAATTCTGTAATTGTCTTGATTGCTTAGATTTGTCAGATATGTTAACCTTTGGAGAGAAGTGTCTAATAACAGTTGTAACATTATCAGTGATAAAGTATTCTTTAGAACATGGGTGGCCTGCTTGAGTGCTCGTGCTTTTTTTTTTTCCCATTCCTGTATCAATTTACCAGTCACGCCAATGAAGACTGTACTGTACATAGAGGAATCTTGTAACAATGGCGCCTTTTTCCACTGGGTCAACAACAACACTCTTCTTGACCACGATGAATGATCACAACACTTTCTCCAGAGGTAACTTCCACAGTTTATCGCAAAGGCTACCGGATGTCTCGTTATGAAAATGAAATCCTCAGCTGACCTTAACGGTTAACAACTCTTTCCGAACGCTGTGGTGAATAATTGTTATAGTATATGCCTCGCTAAAACCTAATAATTAGCTCATTTTTGTCAGTATACCGAACATTGGTCCGCAAAACAAAACTTTGACGCTCGGTTTTCTCTCTTCGGCTATGCAAAGATGAATAACACTTGCTTGCATCATCCGAACTAGCCTATCAGTGCGCGGGGTAAAGACACATTTATCTGTCATGTCCACAAGTATACGCAAGGGCGAATGAAAACCGGTAGGGGGGGGGGGGGAGGGAGGGGGTACTCATTAACTCACCACACCCACCAAGCAGGACTAAATAATTTAGGCTTAGTTCTCAAAAAGGATGCCACCGATGTAAGAGGTCAAACGTGAAGGTAAACTTTACATTGCCACAGCAAATGAATGGATGAATTGATTTGGATGAAGTAGCTTAATAACAGCGAACAATCTTCTCTTCTAGGTCACTACATATGTTTAGTCAAAAGGGCATGAGCACCTATAAACGCTCGCGAAAAAATAACTATCAGACTACACTCCTGTAACGATACTCATGGCGGCTCAATGTCGAAGTTTCTTCGGTATAGTAAAAAAGGAATTAGAATGCTGTGTATGCCTAGAACAGTCTGATGAAACTAAGGAGCCTAAAATTCTGAAATGTCTTCACACTTTCTGCAAATCATGTCTGGAACGTTGTTTACGTCAACATGGTGGAGGGCAATTAAGTTGTCCTACAGGCCGCCAGATCACCGAATGTCCTAACAACAATATCAATAGCCTTCCATCCAATCTTTTTTAATAAATAATAAATAATATGATAAAATAAAATATAATAATATAATATTTATTTATTGATATTTATTATTATAATATTTATAATATAATAAAATAAAATAAATAATATAATATTTATTTATAAGCCGGATGGTATAAATTGTCGAAGCTTACGGTGGAAAGGGACAAGAAGACTCGCCACAGTGCAGAAGCTGCCATGAAAGAAAGTCCCTAAAGTTTTACTGCTCGCATTGCAATTATTTCCTTTGTGAAGAATGCTTCATGGCCCACAGGAAATTGAAAATTGTCATCATGTAAAAGAAATTGGAAATTTTATGTCTAGCGACGCGCAAGTTTACTCTCGGAAACTTAACGTTTGTAAAGAACACAAAGATGAAGTGAGATATTACTGCGAACAGTGTGTAACATGCATTTGTCGTGAATGCACCGTCTTAGAACACCGTGGTCACAACTTTTTATCCATTGACAAAGGTTGGAAAGGAATAAATCAGAAATCGAGACCAAAATGGAAAACGTTTTGGCAAATGGCTCAAGACTACGAGACAAAAAAGAATTGCTAGAGGCACAAAGGATCAGAATGAACAAAAGCATCGAAAAAGCGAACGGACGAAGTGCACCGAGTCGCTGAACGCAATATAACGTTAATTAGACAACACGAATCAGGCGTGACGGAACAACTCATCAAGCAGAAGAATGTTTTCGAAGCACAATTTTCAAACGCTGAAGTCCGAATGGACTAAAAAATGACGGAAATTGAGAACGGCTTGGAATTTTGCAACAACCGACTTCAACGAAGTAACCTTCCCGAGATTTTGAACGTGGAAGAAATACTTGAGCAAAGGTTTCAGGAACTTTCTAAGCCTTCTGATGTAAACATGAATTTAAATTATTCTGAAGTCAAGTGTGTTCCGAATGATTTCGCGTCCCTCAGCGAGTCTCTAGGAGAGCTGTTGACAACCAAAACTGTACCCTCGTTATCTGAGGCAGAAGGTAAAGGACTGACCGAAGGAACTCAAGGCGAAGACTGTGCTTTCAAAGTTATAACTAAAGACTTACAGGGTAAAAACTCTAACAGTCAAATAGACGAAGTCTTTGTTGACATTGAATCGGACCAGACAGGAACATCCTTGAAGGGTCAACATAACAGACTCAAAAGATGGCTGCTATAAAGTATCGTACAAACCTGGAACTGCTGGAGATTTCATCGTGTCAGTAAATGTTGCTGGTGAAGCGATCAAAAACAGCCCATTCCAGTTGAAAGTGAGAGAACAAACAACCCTACAGGAAAATGAAATTTCCATGGCATCCGCGGGTAAGAAACTAAGGATTACTTAGTAATTGATAAATTATCTGTCTCCATTCGTCAGGTAAGTAGTCACTCAAATAATGGTGGCAACTTCTCTCTGCCCCAGTTATCCTTAATACCTGGACATTTTTATTCATATAAGGGCCACATCTAGGTAACTTGTGACAAAAGTTTTTTTTTTAATTGCCAGATATAGGCAGCTTTTACACTGGTTGTTTTGTTGGCCACTTTTTGATGGTAATGACAGTTCGTAGCTATCGTGGAAGGTTTCAAATTAACTTCTTAGGCCTTGAACTTTGAGATGAAATTGATGACTAAGCTAAGGAACTGGGGGAAATCATGTTGAAGACATTAAGTGCTTTGAAGTTTATTGGCCCCACTTCAACCCTCTAACTCCCAAGATCTCATTAGCAATTCGCCTTGCTGTCTGCCCTAAAGTTCTCATGAAGTCAGTTTGAGAATCTCATCACTGGTGTACTTGATGTTGCATTGATTTTGTAAGGAGAAATTACTTCCTCGTCCGCTCATGGGAGTTAAAGGGTTACTATTACACATGTATCTCCTCATTACCCCTCTTTCTGTTTGTGCACAATGGAGGCTTATTTTCTGTCTGATTACGATTAATTAGTTGACTTATTTTTTTTAATAACCGTAAATTCATTTATTTATCTATCTATCTCTCAATTTATTCATTTTTGCGCTTCTGGCACGGCACTAGCCCTGATCCGTCGTAAACAGACGAGGACAAAAAAATACGAAAAGCCGCAACAGTTCCCAGATGTATGGGGTAGAAGAAGAGTTCAGCTCAAGCGTTGAAGCCGAACTTAGCGAACAAAACTCATGTGAACCAAAAAGATCCCAAGAAAGAAGCGGGACCACCACACCGGTACTGTATGTAGGAGAGAGAAAAGGTGTTCTTGCAATTCGTTTTCCGGGGAAAACAAGTCAAGGAGAACCTAATGCCGAAGCTGGTACCGGCGGAACAATGAGCATTGCATCTACGTCGGTGACGTTGAGATGAGTGAACAAAACTCGCGTGAAACAGAAAGATCCCAAGAAATAAGCGGGACCGCCATGTCGGTGCTATCTGCAGGAAGAACCAAAGGTATTCTTTCAATTGGTTTTCCGAAACCAAGTGGAGGAGGAGAACCAATTGCCGAAGCTAATACCCGGAACAATGAGCATTACACCTATGTCGGTGACGTTGAGATTAGTGAAAAAAAAAACTCGTGTGAACCAGAAAGATCCCAAGAAATAACCGCCTCCCGGTTACCTCAATGGATAGAGCGCTGGACTGTTGTGCGGAAGGTCGAGGGTTCGAGCCCCGGCCGGACCAACACTCAAGGTCTTAAAATAATTGAGAAGAAT